TTAGGAGGCTGAGGAGGGAGAACCGCTTGAACCCGGGAGGCAGAGTTTGAAGTGAGCTGAGATGGCACCACTGCAATCCAGCCTGGGCAACAAAATGAGACTCCACCTCCAAAAACACTAAATAAATATTTGCAAGTTTTAAAAATGTACTTTATTAAGATCCTAACAGGTTACCCTCTAACATCAATTTAAATGGGTAGTTGAGTAATTAATTGTAGGTTCCTGATGTTGAGTCAAAAGGTATAAACTATATGGGGATGCTTAATAGAACTTATGAATCACCATCTTTAGAAGTTTAATGTATTAGCTTTACTTGGAATGGTTTAAGTATACTGGAAGGTTTTTCTTGTTAGAGAAATTTGAAGGGCTTTAAAAAGAAAATGGAATATATTAAGCTCATAAAAGCAACGTACAATAGTTAAAGGAAGTTTATTAACTAGGTTGAAACTAGAATTGGTTAATTAAGGGAGGTTGGTCCGTTCAATGTGAGTTGAAGACATCAATCAAAGGCTCCCTTGAAAGTGACTGTTAAAATTACCAGATTTATAAGTAGACTAGGATTTGTAATGTATTCATTCAGAATATTTATGGGTGTCTGCTATGTGTTAGGCACTATTCTGGGTATTAGGAATATAGCAATGAACAAAATAAGGGCAAAAACATATCACAATGGGGCCTGGATACATTAAACTTAAGAGCTTTAGAGAAAATTTTAAAAACTAAGTCATTAAATTATTTGCTTCAGTATGTTAGATATTAATGATAAAACAAACTGGCCATATATAGCCTCTCTGTTGCACAGAATTTCTCCTAAGGGACACTAAAAACTCACATTGACAAGTGTCTCTATTCATTCTTTTATCACTAATGCCTCGTTCACGTTTAACTCTCAAAATTGTGTGTAGCTTAAGTGTTGAAACTTCTCCTCTATGTTCTGGAGTTTTTCACATCATTCCCAAAAAAATCTGAGTTAACTAAGATTTTCTTCTTAAAATGCAAATCTCTCTAAGGTTAAAGGCTAGGAGATATTTACATCTTCATGTAATTCAATCAGATTATGTTTTTCCTAACACCTGAGTTAGGGAATAAACTAATAGAGGAAAGAAAGAAAAATAACTTTGGAGGTGAAAATATTTGTGCAGAAAAGGGAAATCTCTGGATTGAGAACATATTAAGGTACAAGGCTGTAGTCTTCAGGGCATTCGTGAGCATGGGCAAACTGGGTGGCAGATATAAAAAGAGTGGTGCAAAAATGCCAAGAATTCTCAACTATTTCAAAAGCAGCTTCCACTCAGAAAAGAGTCTTCTTTCCACTTTCCCAGGTGATTATGTCCTCTCAAAACCCAGAAGTCAAAATGGCTTCGTTAAAAATTTCCATTTGGGTAAATAAAGTTTCTGCAAAAACTGGCCAGGCGCGGTGGCTCACGCCTGTAATGCCAGCACTTTGGGAGGCCGACGGGGGCGGATCACGAGGTCAGGAGATGGAGACCATCCTGACTAACACAGTGAAACCCTGCCTCTACTAAAATATACAAAAAATTAACCGGGCGTGGTGGTGAGCGCCTGTAGTCCCACCTACTCAGGAGGCTGAGGCAAGAGAATGGCGTGAACTCAGGAGGCGGAGCTTGCAGTGAGCCGAGATCGCGCCACTGCACTCCAGTCTGGGCGACAGAGCAAGATTCTATCTCAAAAAAAAAAAAAAGTTTCTGCAAAATGACCTGGAAACTCAAACGATCACTGTGTCCACGGGAAAATGTTTCTTAGTTCTAAGGATCCACTTGCAACCAGTCTTTTAAAACATGACCTATTCGTAAATTGACTATTGTGCTGATAACCAAAACTCATAAAAATCACACCCAGGGCAGTCCCAGCAAAGTGTAGAGAGTCAAAGCCCAGTAATGGCTTAAACTGTAAGTTTACTGGGCCAAGCCCAAAGCTAAGAATTCAAGGAGTTTTGCATCCCATACCCATTTTTCAGCTGCCCTTATGCCAGCAGTTAGAATTCACACACTCCAAAACTTCAGGCAATGCTGCTGGCCCCAGTACCATCTCCTCCACCACCAGCTGACCAGCCCTAAGGATTGTAGCTAACTGCACATTCCCCACGTGGATATTTGGGTAGATGAGCAGGTAGATGATCTGGGGACAGAATTGTACAGTGGTTAACTCCTCAGGCTCTAGAGTCTAAATGAACTAATTTTAAAACCTAATTACAATTCCCTGCCTGGATGACCACAGGCAGGTTACTTAAATTCTCTGCACCTTGGTTTCCTCATCTGTAAAATGGGGATTATAATAATATCTACCTCTGAGGGTTTTAAATGAGATGACACATGTAGAATAACATCATGAGTGATAGAGTGAGTGCTCACACTCACACGTGGGTTCCCCAATTCACAGCAATCACAGAAAAACATTTGTGTCTTCTGGCTCCAGTGTGCCACAAATGTAAAGAGTAATTACACTGACATCTTGGTTGACTTAGGTAACCACTTTCTTACCTCAACATTACTGCTTTGTTTTTTCAACATTAAAGAAACTAAGAAATAATCCAATTTCTATTTGGATTCTGGTCTAATAGCTGACAAGGATTTGGCTTTATTCTAGTGAATAAAAATGTCATGAAAAAGGAGCTATTGAAGAGTTATGAAGAAAAAGTGTAATGCACTAAATGATAGATTTTTTAAATCATCAGATTGTTTTCAGACATTCAGTCCCAAACTGGAACAAACTACCTCTGACAATAATTCCTCAAGAAAATGATTTTTTCTAAATCGATCCATATAAACCAGGCTGAGTTATTAAGGAGAAAAATGCATTTAATAATATAGCATTCGATTGTGTATCATCCAGGAAAGGTGTACTGTAAAAATGTTTTGATTATTAATTGACCGCTGGTAACTTTAGTGTTGTAAATACTTGTATTATATGAGGTAGACAGTTTTAAAAAAACTCTCCATTAGACAGACTTAAAATTTTGTAATAATATTTAAGAAAATGATAACATTATGAAAAAATGAAATATCCGATTAATGCTTAACTTTGTACAACTCGAATATAAACTTTAAAAATATTAGAAATTATAACATTTGAGTGCATATAACGTTTTGTACATTAGGATGAATTGCATGCTGTCCATTTCCTCTTTGCACTTTCAGTCACCTTAAATAAACAAATATATACAGCCTTAACAGAACAACAGTGCATCGAAAGCAAATGTGCATTTTAAATTATTTCTCCTGGCCAAGTCTTTTTTTCACTTAGCATTTTTATATTAGTATTTCTTATCATCCCCATGCTTTCTTTGACAGTTTGTAGTTCTCTGAACCAAACAAGCAACAGGTTTAGATTGGAAGACAGCAAAATCACTTAGGAAAAACTAAAACTTTTTTTAAGGGCTGGTACAAATTGCATTGATTAAACAACTTTATAGTCAAAGATGAGGAAGAAGCTAACTCTTCAAAGGGCCTACTCATGGGCAATGTTTGAAAACAATACTGGTGCAGGCTGGGGGAAAGTTCATGTTTTTGACTATCTGGGAATGGGTATTTCAATTTCACTGTACTCTCTCCAGCTTCCTCCCAGAAGACAAATTCCACCCCTGTCTCCTTCCTTACTGCCTGTTCCCCATCTCCCACCCCAAGCTCAATGTAACACTTGGCTCTTTTCACAGTTTCTCATTACTAAGTTTTAAAAACATTGCCTAACTGATAATTACAATCTGAAACAATTCTTTTGGGGGAGCCCTGGGCTATTGCTGGCTGGTAATCTTTCTGGAATGTCAAAGAGAGGGGAGGGAACTTAGATTTTAAAGAAACTTCAGAGACAGGGACTTGTGTCCCCTTTCATCCCTCCCTTCCCCATTCCTGGCTCCTGGCCTGTCCCTTGATCCCCATCCTCCCTGAGGCCCACCATCTTCCCTCCTGATGGGACTCCTTCTACTTCTTGGTTCCTATTTCCTCCTTTGTAGCTCTTATCTTGTTTTGTTCCCCACTCCTGCCCATTTTGGGAAATCACCTTCCCCTTAGAAGAGCATGTCTGAATTTTGGCAAATTCTGTTGAAAGAAATCAATTAGAATCAGAAAGGGCGTTTGGGTGGGCTACCTCCAGCCTGGGCTAATGCACCTCAGTGTCAGCCCCAGTCAGAGGCAGGCCTTGTGGTTTCTCATTATCCTTCAGGGGGTTCCATTTGGACTAATTCTTGTCATTCCATCCATACCAGTTCCCCTTGCCCCTACCAGAAAAAGCAACAATGAAGGCAGAGACCTGGGCCCTCAGGAGTGAGGTGAAGGTTGCCAGTTCCTGGTACTGGAAGAGGCCAGGGCAAAGCTGGTAAACTCCCAGAGTACACAAATGGGTGAGAGGGGCACTCGTGGGCCCACCTCTCTCAAAGCTCTTCTATAGGCAGTACCATTCCTGATTTAACTATTCCTTTTGCCAGTTTCCCTATCTAACACTTTCTGTGTGGGAGGGCACAAGACATGGGCTATGAGATGGCCAGAGACCCCACCTTCTTTACACCAGTAAAAACCAACCAAACCAAGATGCGGTCAACGGTGATTCTTCCTCCCACATTGTTTCCCTTTTTAAACTGTTACTTTTTCAATCCATGGAGCAGTTGAGAAACGGGTATGCATCTCTTCTCCCCTCCCCTTCTATCAAAACCTGTAAGACACACAAGGAAATCCAAAGCCACAGTAATAGAGAGAGAGAAAAAATAAAACACACACACACAGAACAAAAGAAATCCTCCTTGGCTTGTTTTTCCAGGGTGGCCAGGCAAGGTGTCAAAATCCGTATCTCCCTCTGGGCTGGCAGGTAGAAGGTACTGGGAAAGCTGCGCTCCCTCTCTCCCACCGGCTCTCACGTCCAGGCTGTTCCCTCACCCTCAGCCTCCCCCAGCGCCAGCTTCCTCCTCCTCCTCTCTGCAGCCAGGCCTCTCCTGCAAGACGGACCTTGGCCCGCCTTGGTTCCGGGCCAAGGCAGTGGGAAAGGCACCGCTACCTGCAGCCGCACGACTCCACCACCATGTCCTCGTACTGCTTGTAGACCACATTATTGCCCGCGTCGATGTACAGGATGCTGATGGGAGTCAATTTGGTGGGCACGCAGCAGCTGGGCGGGGTAGAGCCGGGATCCATGGAGTTCATCAGCGTCTGGATGATGGCGTGGTTGGTGGGCTCCAGGTGCGAGCGCAGCGGGAAGTCGCATACACCCTCGCAGTGATAGGCCTCGTACTCCAGGGGCGCGATAATCCAGTCGTCCCAGCCCAGCTCCTTGAAGTTCACGTGCAAAGGCTTCTTGCTGCAGCGTAGCCTGGACTTCTTGCCGTGACGCTTGCCATGGCGGCTGGCGAAGGCCGTGCGCCGCCGCCG